GCAACAGCCCTGCCGTGGTTCCCCTGCGGTCTTGGGGTTTAGGGTTTAGGGTTTAGGGTTTAGGGTTTAGGGTTTAGGGTTAGGGCTTAGGGTTTAGGCTTTAGGGTCAGGAAGTCACTATGACGGAGGCTCACGATCACTTGGCCGAAAGCCAGTTGGTGGAAGTCTTCCTCGGGCTGGGTGGGCTGCCTGGGTCGTGGTGCGCACGGCAGCTCCGCCCTCCTTCATTCCTAAACCCTAAACCCTAAACCCTAAACCCGGGCAGATGGAGACAGAAGCACAAGAAAGCTGCACCCAGTTGAGGCGATGAGTGCCGACCTGGAACTGCCAAGGACCGCACGGCAAAGCTATCTGAAATGCTGTTCCAGGAGCGTAGGGTTTAGGGTTTGGGGTTTGGGGTTTGGGGTTTGGGATTGAAGTTTGGGGTCTAGGGTTTAGGGCTTTGGATTTGGGGTTTAGGGTTTAGGGTTTAGGCGTTGAGGTGTAAGGGTGTGTCTACCCTAAACCCTGAACACCGTGCGCGAAGCTCGTAGAGGCTGTGCTAAACCATTAACCCTAAACCCTGCGATTTTTTGTTGTTGGCGAGTGTATATATTGGATGTCCATATTTGGACTTCGGGGTGAGTTCGAAACTTGCTGTGGCTTGCGTGCAGCTGCCTAGCCCTGACGGCCCTTCAAATTTAAGAGCCTCCGGCTCAAGCCGCCGACCCCGCTGGAGCATAGTTGAAAGGTTTAAACGCGCTCGTCAGCTCAAAGGATGCCAAAAAAGTTGATTTGCTCGAGCCTCTGTGAAACGTGGGGGTTGGGGGGGTAGGGGGTAGCACCAGGACATAGAAAAGCTGCAAAGAGGGAGGTTTTCACCTCCTTTTCCCTAGATCGGTACAGCTATCACCCATCCCTCAAAAAGGAACAGAAACGGAAATGCCAAACCCTAAACCCTAAACCCTAAACCCTAAACCAAAAAGAGACATCAAAAGCCCCCAAACCCGAAACCTCATCTCGTGGCTCGAATATACTCCGGTCCTCAAGGGTTCATGTGGTTTAGGGGTTAGGGTTTAGGGTTTAGGGCTTAGGGTTTCTTAGGGCTTTGGCTGCCGGGTGGTGGGTTTAGGGGGTTTATAGGGCTTCAGAGGGTTGATAGGGTTCAGGGGTTTGCGGGCTTTGAGAGCTTGAAGCTTAGGGGCCATACCCGAAAGGTGCTAAAGAGGGCGCAAGCCCTAAGCCCTCATCCTAAACCCTAAACCCTAAACCCTAAACCCTTGTCTCCCCAAAGAATTCGGTGGGAAGAGCAGGTGCTCGACCACCTGCTGCCTGCGGCGTATGCGCAATGCCGCCTCGGTGCTTGGGCTTGGGGTCTGGGGGTTTAGGGTTTAGGGTTTAGGGTTTAGGGTTTAGGGTTTAGGGTTTAGGGTTTAGGGTTTAGGGTTTAGAGCTTAGGGTCTAGGGTTTAGGGTTTAGGGTCTAGGGTTTAGGGCTTAGGGCCTAGGGTCTAGGGTTTAGGGCTTAGGGTTTAGGGTTTAGGGTTTAGGGCTTCGGGTTTAGGTTTAGGGCTTAGGGTTTAGGGTTGACGGTTTAGGGTTGCGCTACCCTAAGACCGAAGCCCGAACCCTTCCTTGCTTTCAAAGAGCCAAGATCATCTTTCAGCCTGAACCTGACAACCCTAAGCTACACACCCCCAAACTCTAAACCGTGGAGCCTAAACCCGGAACCCTAAACCCTAAACCCTAAACCCTAAACCCTAGACCCGAAGCCTTTGCACGGTTTAGGCTACGCGCCGGAGCCCTTGAAGTGGGTTGGGTTGTAGGGGGACGAGCTTCGATCCCTGAGGCTTTTAGGTGGTTTAGGGTTTAGGGTTGAGGGTTTAGGGTTTAGGGTTTAGGGTTTAGGGTTTCGGATTCAGGGCTTAGGTTGTTTGAGATAGGAGTTTAAGGGCGTGAGTGTTTGAGGGTTCCGGGTTTTGGGGCGCCGGATTGAGGGTATACGGGTTATGATTCTGGGCCCTTTGGAGGTCTAGATTTGGTTTAGGGAGTTGGGGATGTTGTGGGTGTTGATGGGTTAAGGGGTCCAGGGTTCAGGGTTCAGGGTTCAGAGTTCCGCGCCAGAAGACATTTCAGAATACCCACCCCCCCCCCCTCCCCCAATGCTTTGGACTCTTGTGGAATGCGCTTGAAAGTCTCGGCACTGGCTCTCCCTTGTAGCGCCCCATTCCAAACATCCTAAAATTCTGAAAGTTTATGATCTTGGGGTTTAGAGTTTGGACCTTGGAGGGCTTAAGAGCATCTGATCTCGGAATGTATTTCACAGGCCCTAAAACCGAAATCCCCAAGCTTCCCCAAAAGGGGAACACATCCAAGAATCAAAGGGCGAAAACTATAGCATGGGCTTAGGGTTGAGGGTTTAGGGGAAGCCACAAGCCACTTGGGGTCTCGGCTTTGGTCGGGAATGTTTGGGGGTATGCCTTCGGGAGGCTTGGAGATCCCCCCCCCTAAACCCTAAACCTTGAACCCTAAACCCTAAACCCTAAACCCTAAACCCTAAACCCTAAACCCTAAACCTAAACCCTAAACCCCAAACCCGAAACCCGAAACCCGAAACCCTAAACAAACCCAGAGGTGTCTTGGTGCTGTATGTGGCCCGGACGCTGCTTTGCCTGCTCATGAGACACTCGGCTACATCTTAAGCCCCGAACACTTGAGCCCGAAACCTGTTTAGGGTTTAGGGTTTAGGGTTTGGGGTTTGGGGTTTGGGGTTTGGGGTTTGGGGTTTGGGGTTTGGGGTTTGGGGTTTGGGGTTTGCGGAGGGGGGGGGGGGGGGGTTTGAGGGGCTAGGGAGTGGACCTTTCTGATTCTCCGCACATTTCTGCCGTTATGCTCCTGTGAATCCTCAAGCGTTTGCACGCTTCTCAAAGAGCTCCAAGACTCCTAGACCCAAAACCTTAAGCCCTAAGCCCTAAACCCTAAAGGCGATGTTGACTGCTACTTGAAGCACTCTGCGTGGCTCTCGATGGAGTTGCCTCTTGGTCTTCCCTGTGGCTTGTGTGTGTCAAGCTCCCCAAGCCCCAAGCCCTGAACCCTAAACCCTTAAACCCTTGAACCCTAAATCCTAAACCCTTAAACCCTAAACCCTTTACCCTCCACCCCTAAATCGTGAAACCCAAGCTCAAAGGCTCTTTTTTCTGCAGATGGCCAGGGGCTCATGGGGGCTCAGCGGCTTAGTAGGGGCAACCCTAGACCCTAAACCCTAAGGAGATCATAGGACGCCAAAAAAAACATTCGCCACGCAGCGACGATCTTTGTGGGTTTAGTTTAGGGCTTAGGGCTCAGGGCTGCGGGCTTAGGGCTTAGGGCGGCTTAGGGCTGCTTGGGGCCCATGGCTTAGGGGTTTAGGGTTTAGGGTTTTGGGTTTTGGGGTCTGGGATTCTCATGGCTAGGGGGTCGGGTTTAAGATGCAAATCTTCCTTCATCGGATGACCCCGGCATACCCAGGTATCATACGCCCCTGACAGTCATCATGGGCACCGAGTGGCCCATCTACGCCCTCCTCAACTCCTACGACTGGCTGCACGGCATGCAGTCAGAACCCCGCCCCCAACTGCCTGGGAGGGCTTTGGGTGCTAAACCCTAAACCTTAACCCTAAACCCTAAGCCCTAAACCCTAAACTCGGGGGTTTGGCCTTTGGGTCTTTGGGGGGTCAGGTGAGTCACGCGTGGTAGCAAAGGCTTGCTTGCACGCATGTGCGTGGCGCACACCAAAACCCAAACTCCAAGCCGAAGCCGAACAAGCCACGGCGTTAAGGTTTAGGGTTTAGGGCCTTACTGGGTTGTTCTTGGGGCCATTTTTGTAATTTCCCTTCTTTCCGTATAAGGGAACCTATTCATAAATATTTTTCAAAGGCTTTAAGGCACAACCCAGCTTAGGCTTTAGGGTTTCAGGGTTTAGGGTTTAGGGTTTAGGGTTTAGGGTTTATTTCGGACCCCAAGCTACACTGAAAAAGTGCCAAGCCCAGGTCTTACCCTGGCATCCCGCCCGGCAACGACTACGACGCTTGCCCTAGAGCCACAAAGCCTGAACCCTAAATGTTAGGGTTTAGGGTTTAGGGTTTAGGGTTTAGGGTTTAGGGTTTAGGGTTTAGGGTTTAAACCCCAAAACGACTTGTGGGTTCAGGCTGTAGGGTTCAAGTCCCCTACAAGTCCTAAGCCCGAAGACCAAACCCTCCGAAGCCCGAGGCCTTCAGCCCTCAGCCCTAATCTGAGGGTAGTTTCATGGGCGTCCGTTGTTATGGGCCCATGCTAAGGGGCCATGCAACTACCCTGGGTTTAGGGTGAGGCCTGAGGCCTAGCCCCTGCCCTGCCTGGCTTCCGACACTGTCACCTCTACCAACACCTCCTGTAGTGAAGCCCGGTTTGGGTTTGGGGTTTAGGGTTTAGGGGGTTTAAGGTTTAGGCGTTTCGGCTTAGATTGTGACTGTCCGTAGCCTCTGCTCTTAGCAGCGCCTGCGGATCTGCAACAGCCAGACCCCAGGCAGGCCTTTCCTGCCGCCATATACCGGGCTTGGGTCCGGTACCTTGGTCCACGCGGCCGGCCCGCGTTGACTACTGGGTCGCGGGGCCCCGAATTGCTGTTACTGGTCTGGACCTTGCTGGCTGGTGGTTGGTTCTGGATCCGCCACCGGGATTTTTATCCCTTATTGGGTTACGCTGCTTTTGGGCCGTCACCCTGATATCACTGCGCTGCCTTGGTTATTCGCTGCCTTTTGGGCCGACTGATCGGGGGTGCGCAGCACATGAGAGGACAGCGAGTCCTCGCTACGATCCTTGGATTGGGTTGTTTTCTTCTCCTAACTTGGTCAAACCTCCAGGATCGCAAAGGTGCCTCGCAGGGCACGTTCTCCTCCGTGGCATCGTCGGCTGCGGAAAAAGCGCCAAGCGGCGCGGTACAGATTGAGAGTTGGTCGGGGCAGGCAGAGCGACCGTCTTCGACTACTACAACATCACGGCTCTATGCCGCCGCAGAGCAAGAAGGATGCAGGGCAGAAAGGCCAGCCAAAAGGTGCTGGGAAGAACAAAGCAACGGCTCCTGTGCTTTCGATGGTTCGATTTGCACCACCGGCCAGTGTGCTCTCTGCTCTTCAAGCACGCGCCGGACGAGCGCAGAATGCCGTCTTGGTTGCCGAAGAGCAGCCTGCTGGCAGCCGAACTTTGGCACAAGAAGCCAATTGGCTAGCGACCCAGGTCGCAAAAACCACCAAGCGCCTGGAGGCAGATCTTCGTGCAAAGCAGGACTTGGGCGAGGCAGCACTCCAATGGCATTCCCAGCTGGCAGAACACTTGCCTGTCAACTATGCAGAAGTGGAGCGCATGGCAGGGCAATTGGACGCGGATGTCAAGGAAGCCCTGGAGATTTTGACGCCCCTGGTCTCCACTTCGACCTCAGCTGCGACACAGGCCTTGTTACACAAAGGTGCACAGAATGTGGGGCCCATCTGGCCACCACAGGTGACCGGTCTGCTCGAAATGGCAGCCAATGCCCTTCGGAATATTGCCGCACTGGAACCACTAGGTCACGGCCGCAGCACAACGAGTGGTTGTGGGGGCCATATTCCTTCAGCTCCGTCACATACAGTTGCTGGCGGCCCGAATGCCAGGAGATCACCACCGGGCTTCGAAGGGGGCATCTTCCCTGGAGCCATGATGACATCTGGCCTCCCCTCAATGCTTGCAGAGAGCCGCAGATCCCCGCATCTACCCCCCTCCGGCAATCGATGGACCAAGCGTGCGCAGCCATCCCCCGAGGAAGACAGGCGTCCAGTGAAGAGCCCAAGGCTGACACCTGTAGGGACGAACGCAGCAGGACAGCCCGATGCGGTTAGGACAAGCACACAGGACCATGGGATGCTGAGCGGTGCGCCAGAGGCTGTGCCGTGGCCACAAGACAGCACTGGCCGCACGCCCACACGTCCCGCACGGACGACCTCTTCCTGGATGGCGTCGGATCATTCTGTTCCTGTGGAATTGGACGGTTCCGAGGGTCCCAGCGAGCCAGTCTCCTTCTTAGGGGGAGAGGAGCTGGAAGCCCCACTCTCGGCCGTCGAGGAGGACTGGCAGCAGTGGCAACTAAGCTGGATCACGGCTTGGAACACATCAGTGGGGCAGCTCATGGACATGTGCGGCACCACAGCCACAGCTACACAGAGCAACCCGGCTTTGCGGGAGGTGTTACCGGAGCCGCCACACATGGATGCCTTGGAGGTTCGCAGCCAATGCCAAAGCACACTGAGGACCCTGCAGCAGGCTCCCTGGACTCGTGGCCCAGAGATCGCGACTGTCGTGGAGGACCTCACACGTTGTTATTCGTGCCTAAAAAGCTGTCCAGCGGCAGTCCCAGACTGCCCTCGAGTCGTGCTTCTCTTGGGGCATATCTTGCACGCGGCGGTCCAGGACGTGATGTCATACGCGCCACAATGCACCGAGGAATGGCTGTTTCCACAGCTGGTTCTTGGGAACCATCCCGACTTGGCAGTGCGACTTGGAGCCAGCACACCGGCCCTCCCACACCATGCTCTGCTGCAAACCTGCGCCTGTCCATTCTTGCCGGCCTAATATGCATCCTAGCTGGCACTGTGTCCATCACTAAGGGCTTAGGCCCCCCTTCCGGACGGGGCACCTTCATTAGTGTTCGGCTCCTCTGGTCGGTGGGACATTGCACTATCTGTGGCGGCTGCATTGCCATCCAAGGCGCGGAATTCCTTCTGGCAGTCTTGTCCACCGGACTCCTCCTAGGCTGCGCATGGATCGCTCTTGCTGAGCCACCCCCTCTCAAGCCCCGTAGTCACAGGAACTACGGCCTGCCCATGGAGCATCAGGTCCTCTGCTTGCTCCTGGCTGCTATGGGATGTGGGCTGTGCCTGGCACCGTGCCTTCTGGTGGTTGCTTTGGCATGGCTTCCGATAGGGGCATTTCTTCTTGGCCTCTTTTCACCTGTTCTGTCCTCCCAACACGCACGGCGTGAACCTTGGTGCAGGAATAAGAGAACAAGGGAAACTTCTACTAAGCAGCTAAAGGGGTGCCTCTTTCTTTGCCTGCTGTTCTCACCGGTTGGAGCTTCGGGCCCCCCCAGACTCCATAATGCTGAGCATGTTTGGCAGGGAGGGGACGCCGCACCGAGGACCGACACCCTTGAGGAGGATGCTACCTCCATGATGCAGATAGCTGGCCAGGCACACCTCAACCGAGTTCCAGCCTGGTCCCTCAGCCGAGTTCCGCGCATCCGTATTAGGCGCGAGCTTCACCCGTTGGAAGAGGTCGGTGCCCGGCCTCTAGCTATGCAAGAATTGCGCACGGCTACTTATACACGGAAGCTGGCCGTGTTCCACGGTGGAGTTGTTGAAGGCCCGGAGCCCATTCTCTTCAGGGTTGATAGCCGCCTCTTTAGACCTGCACTTGATGAGGCCGTTGTGCATGCCCTCGGCATCCCTACTGATGCTGTTGATGTGCTTGCGCTTGCTTCACCATTTGACTTTGTCACCCGAGAGCAATATGTTCTCCGGCCTCGCTCCTTCCCATGGTATGCGCAAGCAGTGCCTGTCTGGATACGTGGCGAGCTCGATAGCTTCCATGTACTGCAAGCAGCAAGAGACGAACAGTGCCATGATCTTATCGCGGCGGCAGCACTAATTACCCAGACTCCATCCATCCCGGAAGCTGAGCAATGTCAGTGTGTAGAGGGTACTTTTGTGGCCGACTCCCAACCTCTTTTGCAGCCACGTTGTGATGCGATTGCTTGGGTGCCAATCTCACTTCGAGGGCGCCCTACCGGAGTCACTGCCCAACCTCCTTCTGCGGCTGTGTACCGCAGCTCGGGTCCCCTCAGTCATACACTTTTGTCTTGTGCTGTAATCACTGCCAATGGCATCATCCAAGCACTCACACCAGCCTTTGCTCCCGACAGCGAGACCTTTCGCACCCTTCGAGCCGAATTTCCAGAGCTTGCGCCCCTAATCATGCGCCGACTGCGATATGCTCTGTCAGACCTACCACCGACGCAGTTCCTGGCCTTTCATCGCGAGGAACTCGGACGGCATTCTCTGGTTGTCGATCTGCGTGCTTTGGACCTTGGGCTGATAACCCTCACTGTACCCAGATTCATATCGTGCAGTCAAATCCTTGATGTTACTGCGCGAGAACATGTGCGCATCTTAGACACAGCAGCCATGCATGAACAGGTGATGTCGGGGGAGTATATCTGTCTGCTCCATGACCAGCCCGTTGAACCAGATGTCATGATCGATGTGGCTGGATTCGATCTACTTCGGGCATACCGACCCACTCTTGTTGAAGAACCTATGGGACGCGACACCGGTAGTGCTGCCTCCTGGGGAACCCCTCTGGCAAAAACCCTGGTTCTGGCTGCTGCACATTTCAAGGGGTCTGTCGGCAAGTTGTGCCTGCTCCTCATGGCGGCTGCCAACCAAGCATACGCCGGTCGTGCTGCCAGTGCTCCACCACACCGTAGCGGTAGATTGCAGCGTGTCCCAGCCCCCCCATGTACCCTGCCCAACAAGGCTTCCCAGGCAACTCACGCGGCTATTCAGCGCGAGCTGCTGGCCTCCGGCAGGCTGCTCACGCCGGTCATTAGCCCCAGCCCCCTGGGCATTGATGACCCGCGTGAAGTCACCTTCAAGGTGTGGCATCCAGGGAGGGTTCTCACTCGGTGCTACCCGGCGCAGTGGTCATGGCACGATGTGCACGCTGATCTCCTTGAACTCATATCCCCCCTAGGGCGGTATGTCATCCTACCTGCTGCAGCAGCTCCAAACCATAGAGCTGTACACGTGGTCGCCATCTCTAATGCAGACACGCATAGCACTATCCTGGTGGCCCGGGCAGGTGCATGGAAGTGCCTGGATGTTGATTGGCGCAATCCTGCACCCGACATTCACGCGTGGGTTGAAGGCATGGACGGCACTCACTCATACCGCATTGATTGTGCTCACCGGGGGCGTGTTCGACATGGCGATGTGTGTGTGGTTGTAGACACCGCTCAATCGGCTTCCCCCACGCTCTGGGATATCAGTACCCTCTCCTTGACAATGCCAGCTGGGTGCTCTTGGACCCGCACTTTAGGAAGGCATGTTTTTCCGCTAGTGCAAGCTGGTCAACCACATCTCTGGCTGCCGCGTGTGCAGGGCGTGACCGCACGCGAAACTGCCATGGATATGCTGAACACAATCCGCTCGCCGAATCCCGAAACCACGCATTTGCTGGATGTGCCACCATATCTCTTAGTCCTTCTAGCGGCTCCTCGAGGAGGGATGTGCACCCTGGTTTGGTTGCACGACTGCCATGAATGCGTCCCACACGGAGTGGCCTTTGCCGTTGACGGGGTGTTTCCAAGCCGTGCAGATCTTCTCTATGCGTTGCGTGACCTGCCAGGTGCTGCTTCGGAAATTTGGCTCCGGGCCACGGAAATGTTCCTCTTGTGGGGGCCCTCTGAATCCTTGCACTCTGCCGACAATGAGGCGGTCGTTGCCGAGATTGTGACAGCCAGTGTTGACATGCGACTTCTGCTGTCGCATAGCCGCACAGACTCTCTCTCCTCTGCACCACGCCAAGGGGCTTATGGGACATCCTTCATGCCGGGTCCTCGAGAGGCCAGGAGTAGTCAGATTTCCTCCCTTGACTCCTCGCTGACTGATCCATGCATCCCGACCCTAGGTATTCCTGCGGAAGGCACACTGCATGTTGTGTACTGCGGCTCTATTCAGACCAGCTGCGTGGTTCCGTGTCCTAGTCGGCGGCTGCCCTGGGCACTAATCATTGGCGATGAAGTCAGGACGGCGTGTACTGACCGAATCTCCTGGGCTGAAGTAGCTACTGTAGCGACCATTTCAGTCTTGGACTTGCACGGGGCAGCGGTTGTCCTCGAGGGGTTCCGCTGGATGTGGCCGGAACCCATTACTCATCTCGGACATGCCTGTGGCACTTTCCTCCGGCGCGCACCGAATCATGACTCTCACTGCTATGAGGAGCGTGAACACACGCTTCCGCCCCCACCACTGCATGCCAGGAATTCTTGTGGTGGCATTACGCTTACGGGGTGGGCCCAACTAGTTGTTCTGGTTGCTGGAATGCCACATGTCGGCCGCTGGCCAATTATTGCATTTCTTGTCAAAGCGGCTACGGCCATGGTTGTGACAGTGGACCCTGCCACTACACACCCACCTCTTATGTGTGTCCCTTCACCTGGGTTCCTCAACTTTGCAGATGTGCTCAACTGCTTTCTTCAACACCCTCCGTTGGAGGGTACACTCTTGAGGGTATGGCGCCCCTGTTGCGGTCCGGCTGTCTATCAGTTCCGACCACAGGCTGACCTTGACGGTATAAGCACTTGGTTGCGTGAACAGGGCTGCAGACCCACTCGTGATGTGTTCCACCTTGCACATGACTCTGGCCCGGATGCCATCGATCTGCTGTGCACCCCGCCGGCCTCCGGAGCTTGGTGGATCTTGCGAGAAGGAGGACACCGGGAACTGCTCAGACCTGTATGCCAGTTGCCAGATGTCTCGGAGCAACTGGTCACGATCGATGAAGGAGGACAGGCATGCAGCTTATTGTGCGGTGGACAACTCGGCTCCCGCCTGAGCTTTTCCCTGGCAAGCGGGCAGTGATTGGCCGCAGTGTTCCCAATTGGTACGGCGCATTGGCCGGCACGGGACTGATGATGTTCTCAGCGTCTCCAGGTTGGCGGTTGGCGCCTGTCACACTGGCCATCACCTTAGCCCTGCAGCCTGTGGGTGGACAGACTATCCCAGCCGGCCACCCCCGCAGAGTGTGGACTTTTGGATTGTCTGAACCTGTTGACCTCCCGACCTCAGCGCGGACAGTCACGGATGCTCGCCTAGTTCTGGTACGAGCCCATCTCCCCAAACAGCTCGATAATGATGGGAAACTCCTGGAAGTCACCCCTCCCGTGATCCAGGGTGTCCAACACTGGCTGTACGTGCCTAGGACAAGAGTGGGGACATACATTTACCTACTTATACAATGGCATAGACAGGCGGCAGTCTTCGAGAGTCGGTCGCATCCCCTAGACTGGGAAGCCTTGTTCCAGTGGGCCACGTCAGTCTTTACCCTAGAGCAGCCGCTTGCACAGAGGTTTGTTCTGGTCGTAGACAAGCAGATCTTTCGATTCGGCACTATCGTGACTGGCCTCAGGCATGGGCAACTTTTGACAATCGGAGAGCACACCCCATCGCGTAGCCCAATGCGTTACCTCAATCCGTGGGGCGAAGAAGAGGAATTGCCTGAGATTGTGCGCAGTGACTGGGGGGATGCACTTCTTACTGGGCCCGGTGGTCAAAGTCCCTTATGCCCGAATGGTCCAGCTCTTCTGCCGGTCACAGCGAGTCGAAGGGAGACTGCCTTGCCAGCGGTTGCACACAGCTCCTGTCAAACCCCCCTCTCGCTGCCCCCCAACAGCACCTCTCTCCTCGCGTGGGAAGCGGCTACCCACCAGCTTGGGGAAGTGTTAAGGCTCCTAAGGCAGAGAACCCAAGACCCTACACCACACGCCCAATGCAGCGCCGAGGGCGGAGGTCAAGCCAATGCGTCGACCTTGAGTCCATCCACGAACAGGCCGGTCACCATGCCGGAGGGGGCCGGACCTGACGGCCACCCCTTACCTGAACCCTCTGCCTCTGAGGGTTACCGGGCGTCCCTCCTTGTCTTCACATTAGTGCGTAGACAGAGCCTTTGGGTTGTCTTTTTCCTCAGCAACTTCCTGGCCTATGGGGTAGCAGCACCACCAGCGCCTGCCAGAGTTGAACAAGCTATAGTTAGGGTTCCGGGGACCTCGCTTCCGGGAGGTGGACATGTGGAACATGCTCACTGTAATGTCACACTACCACTGTATGGCAACTCCCTGTCATGGTCCTTAAGGGACGCTTCCCCCGAGCAGCATGGGGCCCTCCAGTCTCAGCTCAATACGGTGTGGCAGGCTCGAGCCGGCGGCCGCCGTGTAGAGGAATCACCATCGTGGCCACGGACTGCTGGGAAATTCTTCATCCACTCCCCGGCGGCACCTAGGCAGCCGCTAACGGGCAGATTTCTGCTCACAGAAGACTGCCTCAATGAGCTGTATGATATCTCCGACACATGGAGAAGGCAGGCCCAAGTTGCCGCTGTCATACCGCTATCACCACAACCTGCACGCAATGCCATTCACTTGACTACCTGTGACCCGGAATCTGACCGAGCCACTGTCACGCTCTGGTGGGACGGGCTGCTATGGCCGCGACAGCTCCCCAGACAGTGCCCTGCTGAGTGGCTGCGCAACTACTGCATCCTAGGTACTGTTGGCACCATTCCGCCGCCTCTAGGTGTTCCTGTGCAACCTACTGTGCCCTTCAGGGATGGTGACTGTGTCCCCTTCTGGGTCTGTCAGTTGGCCCAGATTGAAGACATTGAGATCTCCTGGGCCGGCAGCCACCAGATCCTCAAGCTCTCATGGGCCCTTCCGCTTCTTCTAACTTGTTCTCGTGGCCACTTCTCTGCCTTGTTGGCTCTTCTGGTTGGGCTGCCTGGCCCTGCGTGGGCTATGATAACTAGCTCGAACCCGGCCCCGGACAGCGTCCCCTATATGTCCTGCTGGCGGCACGGCAATACCAGGACCCTTGGAAGACCGCAAGGGGACATTCCTGACCGGAGACCACTCTCGATGGAAGCTCTGAGGATGCGGCCGCCGCAGGCAGTCACCCACCTGGTCTGGCATCGTCAGGGCCTTGCCATGTGTTTACGCATGTGCTCATGTACCCCGACCGCTGTGGCTGAACTGGCTCTTTTGGCAGGCTTACCGTCATCGTGTCGTGACTCTGTCATACCGGACGCAACGCCACCTGACATTGAAGCTGTCCACTGGAAATTAGTCCCCACAGATGGTGCTTCGTCGTCGCGACATCTGGGGCTGATGCTTTTCAGCCTTGTCTTGGGGGGTTTCAACGGGCTGGCGAGTCTCTTTCCTCTTGAGTGTGATTGTGCTGCACTCAATCCCTGCAGCGGTCAAGCCCATGACGCTGCGGCCAGCCACTGAATCTGTCCGGGTAGGTGCCTTCCCCTGGCATGTGACTATCCCTATGCGGACGGTAAGCAGCCTCTCTGAGGATGGACCCATCTTCGTACATCTGCTGAGCCCCTTTCGAGGTACTGGGGATACGCATGAAATCAGTCGCAGCTGCGACTGGTCATGGCTGGTGCGCCTCTTGTATGCTGAGGAACCTAGATGGGGACACCAATTAGTGCCAGTGTGGCCTAACACGGTGACCAACACCCTCACTCTCGTCCCGGTTCCCCCAGACAATTCCTTAGTCTGCATAGTAGTGGTGGCCTCTACCTGGAGGCTGAGCATGTGCATGCCGCAGGTGGCACGACTAGAATGGGTGCAGGAGGCGATAAGTTACCGAGCGCCGCAGGCCTTTGGGCAGCTCTTCCCACCACCGCCTCTTGAGCCGCTGCTTGAATCGTCACCCTCCTCTGAACTAGAGAGTCAGATGCGGGATACGCTCCATATGCGCAGCGGGGATGTCTTCTATGCCCTCTCCTGGGACAGGCAGGCTCCGCACGCAGAGGCGGGGAAGTTACAGTGAACTCCCTCGCCTCGCTCAGACACGATACCCTTTGGCAACGCTTCTTAGTCATATCCTTTGCCTTCGAATGCACCATGTGGCAGCCTGGACAGGGGCCGACCGTCATTGAGGTCCCCGCGGGGTCGAGGTGGCTACCTCACTCCCAGACCTTTGACAGCTTTCCGGAGTTAGGAGCCAGAGGCCAATGGGTTCTCGCCCCCTGGGCGTGGGGCCAAGGCATACATCTGTGCCTGCGTTGCCGAGACGCCTTCCATGCACACATACTGATACATTGCGCTTGCAATAATCTCTGTGTTAGGGCACCCACTTGCGCTGATCGAGCATACATACAACACATCTTCGCAGGGGCAGGGGGCCTGGGCACTTGGACTGTCGCTGGCAGCTCTCCTCACCCTGCGACCCAGCTCACGGACCCGGTCCATCTTCGGGATGGAGATGTCCTGCGGGAAGGCTGCGCTGTGCGACCACTCCCCTCTGTGCGCTCCAATGGCTGTCACAGCCTGACCGTGAATGCCGGCCTGCACCTCCTTCTATTAGGAGGAGTCGGAATCTATTAGGAGGGGGGGGGATCCGGCAAGCCGGGCGGGGCCAAGTCACTGTGCTCTTGCTGTCTCTTCTATGGGCTCTTCCGGCCATGGAGCTTGAATGTAGTTCCAGCTCTAGTGAATCAGGGCAGCCGCCCACACGGCGGTCCAGGTCACCATCCCGGAGTGGCGCTTTCCAGCCGCTTAAGCCTCGAGTCGTTGAGGTGGGGCTGCTTCACCACCCCACCTCTCCCAGATGGCGCCCTACTGAGCACACGACCAACTTGGGAGGTTTCCCATGGATACAAACATTGTGCCCCATTATGGGGGCTGCAGCCCCCTTACGGCCACACCCGCAAATGCCACAACAGGATATTTATCATCTGGTCCGCGCCACCATGCAGGACTGGCCGGAACCCCTTGTTCCTGTCTGGCCGGCCCTGAGCATGGGAGCCCTACACCTGGTACCCTGCCCCCCTTCCCCCCTACTGTGCGTAGCGGTTGTCAAAGGCGGAGAGGTGCAAGCACGCCTACTGCTTAGGGATATGCCATGCCCATTAGTTCCTGACGCCCTGGGGATCGGCGCTGACTATGCAGGCCCCCTCACGGCATCGGTGTCCTTCCTCTCCTCTTCAAATATCCGCCTTCGGCATGGGGACCTTATTTGCGCTAGGCCTCCGGCCAACTATAGGGTTCCTCCAGCTATGCCCATACATCTAACACCATCTCAGGCACGACACCATGCGCTCTGGCAACTCCCATTTGTCATCTCGCAAACTGGACGGGTCACCATGTGGCGCCCAGGAGCGCCGGCGCGCACCGTGGACACGCCTGTTGGGTTCACGTGGAAGCCTGCTGCCTGCTGCTTCGCGGGCGACTGGGTAGGGCAAGGTGATCAATGGGCACCTGTGCCGTGGATCCCCGCCCCTGGTCTGCACCTATGCTTGCGCTGCCCGAGCCATCTGTACGCTCATGTCATCTTTTGGGGGGTCAGCCCGACCTGCCAGAGAGTTTCCATCGGAGCCATGGACACCCTTGACAACTCTCATCTAGTGCGTGGGGTTGCAGGGATGGCCCCGTCAGAAATCACACTCCGGGATGGTGATATCCTTGAGCCCTCCGTTACGCACGCGGAACAGTCCGCCACGGAGGTGCGTGGCCGACCCTTCTGGCTGACTGTGCTTCTCGGCTGGTGGGCCCTGTGCCGCGCTAGGGGTCCCCCTTCAGGATGGATCGGCACTTTTGCTGCCCTCTGTTTCCTGGCATCATGCTGGGCGTGGCTTCCGCCCCATAGTCGGCCACAGAGCCAGGCCCCTCCTGCACCACGGTGGCAGGGAGCGGATTCTGATACCCCGGTCTCGTATGCCTGCCACATCTGGCTGCCTAGCCGATGCCATAGCTTCGACCACGCGTTTTCTGATACCAAGCCGCTTTTCACGCAATGCTGGAGTTGCTACTTATGCCCACGAGGGGCTCCGGAGTTGGTTTGGCGTCAGAGTGAGG